GGGTATAAGAGTAAAGGTATAACGTGTTACAATAGGCAAACACCTCCTTTCTTTACCTATGTCCAGCAGTGGACTATTGAAGACTGTTCATGAAATAACACACACACTTACAGTTTCTATATATAACGACTATTAATTGACATCGAATACACAATGTTCTGGCGCCAAGAAGTGACGTCAGCGACGTCATGGAACTGCCAATTTTGTGCCATTAATATTTGATTCATTTGTATTGAGTACGCAAAAGCTTTTAATATAGCTTTATTTATACTTATACGTATACTCGTAATCTATACTTATACAGCTAAATAGCTGTATCCTGCCACGTTTCACTGTAGCAATGTGCTGATGAGAAAACAGAAACACTACTGTACGCTTTTCGAGACACTTTTTGCACCGCACAACCAATGTGTAGAACGGGTTATCGTCTGCGACCTTCAAACCTTCAAGAAAAGAGCGTACTCCTTCCTAAAAGGCCGGCAACGCGTTTGTGTCTCCTGGGTTGCAGACGTTCATGGGCGGCGGTGGTCACTTTCCATCAGGTGACCAGTCTGCTCCCTCTAACATAAAAATAGATAAAAACCATCTTTGAAGCATGTTGTATATCGTGCCAAAATTTGAGCTCCATCGGTGCATAACTTTTTGAAGCGTACACAAAGTAACTTAACATATATATAGATTTTTTTTTATGGTATAAGGGAGCAAACGAGCAGACGGGTCACCTGATGGTAAGCAACTACCGCCGCCCATGGACACCTGCAACTCAATAGTCACAAGTGGGTTGCTGCCCTTGGATTCACTCACTCACTCAGTGAAAGGCAACGAAAGAATTTCTTAAAACCAGTTTTCTGCGAGGCCGTGGTATCACTCCGGTCGAGCTGGCCCATTCGTGCTAAAGCATAGATAGATATATGTATATATTGAATTATAGTAGTAGTTATCTTGAAGTCGAAATTCAACCGTCTATCCCTCTGTCCATTTTATATCTCACTGTCACACACATTTTGTATCACACTATTAGTGCTAGAAACCTGTAATTTCGCATGAAAATACACACTAATCACCCCGACAAAATGGTAAAATATTTTTTTTTAGAGTGCCTCTTGTACCTTCAAAGAGGGGATGTTATTTTTAAAATTCAACCATCCCATGACGTGGGGTACGAGTATCATTGGATAGGTATTTTAAAAATAATAGGGGTTTGTGAAGACAGTATTGTGATTAAGGTATCCTTTTGGGAGATATTAACACTCAAAGCGCTGGTTTTTGTTACAGTCAAGTGTCCTCTCCTCTTCCAAGCCAAACGGCAGTATTTGGAGATCTGAAAAATTCATGGTGGTAGTATTCATATATATGTATAACTAATTTAAAAGGAAACCTATCACAACCAAGAAAACTTTATTACTCGTAGTTTACATGTAATAATCGACCAACTATTTAGACGTTATAGGCCGCAGAAACCGTTAATTTGAAATGTTTATAATATGAAATAACTACGGAAATCTGCATTGGGCGTGGCTCAAAGGGCACTTGGCTGATATTTTGTCGTGACAACGTCTTATAATTCGATGGAGCCGGCTGCACGCACGAAAAAACATGACTCATGCGGCGTTACCTCGCTCTGAGGCGTTCCATTTAATGCTTGAAGTGCAAGCGAGAGCGCGGAACGAGCGACAAAGAGGCACAATCGGCCTCCGCGTTCGGCAGCGTTCGACATCTGTCTCTCTCCTACTTGAGTGAGCGATGCGTCCGCGTGGACAGCTGCTATACAATAATACATTTACATGTTTTCGTAAAATGCAACCATTCCATCAGTATTTTCTTATGACGTTGTCACGTTCAACTATCGTCAGTAAACCGACTTTACAGATTTTATTTTATTTAGACAACCGATTTTTTTTATTATAATTAGATTTTGTGTTCCTGTAACCATATACCTATGTTAAATTTAATTTTTTTGCGATAAGTAAGACTTTAAAATTAAATTTAGTTGTCAGCGTTGGCGTAAAATTATTCATTTGGCAATTTCTAAGTATTATGATGGTATCAAAAACAGTATTAATATTCAAAACCTGCATTACATATTTTTAATAAAAAAATGTTTTCTTTGCTTTATTTTTTAATATTTTTAACGTCTGATCAGTTTAAAAATCTAAAATGCTATTCTGCAATCATCATCATCAACAGCCTTTAGTAATCCACTGCTGGATTTAGGCCTACTCTACCACGCTGGTCAGACAGGTTTGTATCAAGTTTTCCTTCTCTATGCAATGCTGTTATCTTGCGTAGTTTGCTCGCTCAGTCGGCTCTTACGACGCCCTCGTAGAATACGAGAAGGGAAGGTGACACTTCGTATTTTTAATCCGTCAAATATTCACACACGACCGTCTGATCCCAAGCTAGGCAGAGTCTGTACTATGGTAACCCGACTGCTGATAAAGATACTTTTATATTTCTAAATACATACATATTATAGATGAATTGCACTCAGATAAATACAAATTATCGTGTTCATCACACAATATTTAGTCTTGTGGGAATCGATTCTTTGGCTTAGCAGCCAGGGTCACTATCCACTAGATCATCAGGCCCGGCAATATCTTTTAACATAGCACTTTGTACACACAAAATATCTTATACAAAATGTGTGATCTATTAATACACGAACACTGGATCATATCTCGTGCATTAGACGTAACGTTACGTATGTTAAAACAAACTTCAGAACTAACCTTAAAAGATTTATTAACATGTTACACACAAAATGTGTAAATATACTTTATCTTGGTAAAATGTACATCATAAATAAGTGTGTTTATCTAAACAAGGTTATAATTCGGTAGTTGATTGATAAGGGGTCAAAGCCAACTAAGGGAGCAAAGTGCAGCGACAACAGCACTGCAAAGAGAAGGAAAACTTGAAACATACCCTATACCAACCCGTCTGGCCAGCGTGGTATCGTAGACCAAAACCTCCTTTCTAAGAATAGGCCTATGTGCAACAGTGGACTATTTAAGGCATCAACAGCCTTGGTGATGATTAAATTGGAATTTAAAATAAAATCTTATCATGCTTATTAACAGAAAACATTGAGTGGCCGAATCCTTTATTATTTTATTATCCGTTAGGTTTGATTTTTTGCTACGTGTATGGGATTTAGATATTGAACTCTTTCTGATGTTACAAAAACACTTTCAATAATCTTTTTAGTACGACAATAGGGAAACAAATTAGAATATAAAGCAGAGTCTCGCTGATCACCTACAAGCTTAATTCGCAAGATTGACGGGGGCCTGTTGGTCTAGTGGTTAGTGACCCTGACTGCTAAGCCAGAGGTCGTGGGTTGATTCCCACCTAGGACAAATATTGTGTGATGAGCACGGTCATTTGTTCTGTGTCTGGGTGTAATTTATATATAATATATATGTATTTAGAAATATATAAGTATGTTTATCTGCAGTCTGGTTACTATAGTACAGGCTCTGCCTAGTTTGGGATCCCCACGTGTGAGATATATTATTGTATTAGATGATTGTTACAATGCCAATTTTGTTTAACTGGAAATAAAACGAGTCCCAATTCAAATGGTGAACTGGTAACCACCTCAGAATTCAATTATCAAGCTTCTGGCTACATCATCAGAACAGCTCTTAATTACGACATAATTGTGATAACAATTTATCATTTAGACAGTTAATGTTAACTGCTGTATTTAAATTAAGCAAAATGAGTGAATACAGTTCATATTTTACATATGCGAAGGTTTTAATACATTAAGTTACAAATGAAGATTTTTTTTATGGTATATCTAGGGGTACAAACGTGCTGATTGCGGCTATCGTGCGGAGCGAGAGTGCGTGGAACTCTGCCGTCTCCTTCTGCGAGCAAGTTATGCTCGCGAAGGAGACGGCGGAGCGGGACCGGGAGAGGTTTAGGACTCTCCCGGCCCGCCAGGCCCGGGAACGGTCCAGGTACCGCAGGCGACTCAGGCGCCCGAGGTCGCAGAACGACCTCCGTCCTCCATAAGCGCAGGCCTGGGGGTGACAGGTGAGGCCATCTGTCACCCTAGCAGAAGCTGGCTGGGGTGGCGGCGAGCGCGTTGCGAAGCGCGCTCGCTTCCAGGGAGCTGACGGAACATGGGGTTCCCACACGGGAAGGGGGGTCGTCTACCTGTTGTTGTAGATGGCCCGAGGTATGTCGGGGCATCAGGGACTTCCTTTCTAGGGTATACCTGGTTCCCCGGCTATTAGTACCCGAGACGGCGTGCGGTTTTAGTCCGACATGCCACCGATAGGTGGTATCCGAGGGGATTTCCGCACGGAAAAAAAAAAAGGTACAAACGTGCAGCCGTGTCACCTGATGGTAAGGTTCCGCCGATCATTGATATTTGCAACTTAAAAGTTAGAAGTGTGCGTTGCCTCCTTTGAGTCGCCCCCCTATTAGCGGGAGGGGGTGTTTAAGTGATGAATGATATTTATTTCTGCAAGTAAATCTTTTCAGATGTTTTTACAAGTCGGAGACTAGACTAGACATTGGTAATCCCACAAATTTGATGAAAACCAACGAAAGAAATGCTCAACTCCGGTTTTCTGTGAGACTCCGGTTGAACCAGCTCATTTGTGCTGAAGTATCTTTCTCCTACGACAACGAATTAATTACTGACATGACTGTCTCGTTGGTGCAGTGGCAGCGTATGCGACTGCTGTGTTGAGGTCTCGGGTGCAATTCCCCGCCGCACCAAATGTTTGTACGATCTGCAAGTATTTGTTTCGGAGTATTCTGTTAGTCAATCTAGCTTTCATAGTACAAGCTCTGCTTAGTTTGAAATTACATATATAGCGTTGGCCGGAATTTAATTATTATTATAAAACGCTAGAAATGGGACACGAAAAGATGCTCAATTTACATGATGCATTTTAAAATTCAATAAAAATAATCTTAATTTTTTAATTTTTTCAGGTAATCAACAATAAAAGCTACGGTATGCGATAACCAAAACAATGGGTGAGATAAAAGGATCGGAAGAGAAAAGGCATGAGTTAAGCGCAGTTAATCTAAATGCACACAATAAGTTAGATATCAACACAATCAACTCATTAAAATCAGAAGACAATGAAATAAGCGTTCAATATACTAAAGATAGATCAGATTCACCCGTTGAAAGAGTCAAGTTCATAGGGTTAGGTAGTAATGACAGTATATGTTCAGATGAAACAGAAGATGATAAACTGCCGCCTATACCAGATGGTGGTTGGGGATGGGTAGTGGTAGTTGCAGCCTTTTTAGTAGCAGCTTGCGCTGATGGCTTAGCCTTTTCATTCGGCTTATTACATGAAGAATTCACGTCGTACTTCGAAACTACACAGTCAAAGACTTCGTTGATTGGTAGTCTGTTCATTGCTACACCATTACTGGCAGGACCCATTATGAGTGCTTTAGTAGACAGATATGGATGCAGAGTAATGACTATGATAGCTGGTGTTATCTCCACTATTGGATTTTTATTAGCAGCTCTCAGTAATTCAATTGGAATGCTGTGTTTGACTTTTGGCTTCATCAGTGGGTTAGCGATGGGAATTCTATATGTAACTTCTGTTGTATCGGTTGCATTTTGGTTCGATAAAAGAAGAAACCTAGCTGTGTCTTTAGCGTCGTGTGGTATTGGATTCGGTACTTTAATTTATTCACCAATGACTCATTATTTCTTAGAAATTTACGACTGGAGGAATACTATTGTTTTATTGGCTGGTACTTTATTAAATATGTGTGTCTGTGGAGCCTTAATGAAGGATCCAGAGTGGTTAGAAATTAAACAAAGGAGATTAAAGAAGTCTAGATCTAGACGTTCTTCAAGCGCAGGCTCAGTCTCATCGAAATCTATTGGAGCTGAGTCAGCTTATTTAGATGCTGAAGAACTTAAATCTTTACTAAAAAGTGGAAAGAATCCTGAGTATATATTGGCAACCCTAGCGACAAGTATAGCGGAAGCGAAAGAATTAGAAGCGACCACACAATTAAATGCGGATAAAGCTTGCAAACGAATGCATTCAACTATACACTTGCCCACATTTGTACAACAAAACGAAAAGGTAGGTCTGTTGGACACTGAATGGATTACGTAATAATTTTATACATACATATTTTATACTATAGGGGGCAAATAAGCAGACGAGTCACCTGATGGTTAGCGAGAATGACACCTACAACTGAAGATACACAAGTGCCTTGCCATCCTTGGATGCCCCTCCCAGAATTAAGGAGAGGGATTAGATCTCCGGTAACTTCACTTACTCGGTGAAAAGTTACGAAAGGTTTAACACCGGCCTTCTGTGAGACCGTGATATCTCTCTGTGACGGCCTGTATGTGCTGAACCTTAGTTCTCCTACGGTAATATGTAGTTAAGATATTAAAGCGATATAAAGAAACAGATCACATTTGCCTTTATAATAATTATAGTTTGTAATACTTGTGTACTAGGAAGTACGGTATGTTTATATTTTTCCCCTTTGTTATCAGGTTCCACCTGAAGTAATAGAAAAATTAATGACGAATAAACGGCTCTACAATATAATCTTACAAAATTACCCAGACGTGTTGATGCGCAGGCATTCTGAGGTCAATATAAACGTCGACAATAAAAATATAGATGAGTCTGCAAAGTTACCAGTGGAAATAAAAGTCAAAAAGCCTAAGGATGAAAAAGATGCAGAAGGTAAAAAACATAGTCAAAAGGATCTCCATAAAACTCATTCAAATAATTTACATAACACTGAATCAAATAAATCAAATACCAATGTGAACTCCACAAAAACGAAAGAGAAATTAGTCTCAAAGAATTCGAAGCCTGGTCTACCACCAACTAGTTGGTTGAGACAAATTTCGTTGGATCATCATTACTTGAGGGGTATGCCATTGTATAGGAATACACTGATGCACCGTGGCGCTATGTTGTCAATACCCGCGAGGTACAAGCTGAGAGCCTCATCCTTACCGGATATATACAAGAATTCGTCTTGGTCGCTGGATTCAGAATCAGATGATGAAATGGTAAGAAAATTGAAAATCCAACACTTTAATTTGTAATTTATCTATAATATGTGTGTATTTAGAAATATATAAGTATGTTTATCAGCGGTCTGGTTTCCATAGCACAGGCTCTGCCTAGTTTGGAATCAGACAGCCGTGTGTGAAATGTGTGAGGTTATTATTATTATTTATTTTTAAAGTGAAAGACAAATGTAAAGTGCTCCTAATTTTTTTTATGTGAAATATCTTTCCTTTAGCTTTCCCGTAATCTGTGGGAGAAATGGATTGAAGTCTATATAAGAAAGATGGAAAACGCGCTCTATTTAATTTGACCAATGAGATGTCCAATTAAACTCCATTACTGTACGACTTGTTTCTTATTTTGGTAAAATTGTGGTTTTAGTCATATTAGGCAAAACCTAAGTCAGAATATTTCATTTTAATACGTAGCGAGATTTCTTTAATGATACAACCTACCTAATAACAGCAACGACCGTAATCATTTCTACATTATTTTCCAGCTTTGGTACCACCGCCTATGGCAGACCCTCAAAAGCACGTTCGACTTTAGAATGTTCACCGAGTTCCACTTCTTGATGTTCAACTTATCGTCTCTGATACTCTCTGTGTGGTTTATTGTCCCCTATTTCTTCCTCAAGTCTTACATGACCGATATGAATTTGGATGGTGGCGAGATGATGATTTGTATTATTGGGGTGGCCAGTAGTATTGGAATTGTAAGTACCTTCATTTTCTTTCCTTATGTTTTTTTTTATTTCATAAATAAATTCTTTCGCTAGACGTCACGATTCGAAGCTCATGAATTATGTATCTAAAATAAATAAAGAGGAATGACTAAGAAGATCCGTTTCTTCATATCGCGATAACTCCTTTACAGAACTGTAAAATAGTTATTATTGTGTGCTTAAACTTTACTTTTGTGAAGAAATATATCTATATATATAAAAGAAAGTCGTGTTAGTTACACTATTTATAACTCAAGAACGGCTTTACAGATATGGTTAAAAATTGGTGGGGAGGTTGCTTAGAGCCAGGAGACGGACATAGGATACTATTTATTCCGTTCGACAGTGTTTTTTTTTTGTTTTTTTTTACGAACATCCATGGTTTTCCCATGGTCAATTATATGTGGCATGTTCACGGGTCGGAACACCATCTGCGTTGTTTGTTTTTGCGCCTGATAAGAAAACAAAAAATGTCGTGTATCACAAGGTACTTAAGTGAAGAGCAACCTATCTACTGAAATGCAGAAACAATAATAAATGATTAATGTACTTCATTTATTTTTCTAAGAAAAAAATTAACTTACTAAATTCTAAAATGGGCTTATTTATTGCCTTTAAGGCGGAACAGAGTTCGCCGGGTCAGCTAGAATTATATAGATCAAATGCCTATCTAATATAAAGGATAAAGGGCCTACCCCTTTAATCCTGTGTAATTTAATCCTGTCTGGGTGAAAACGGTCCAATGGTTGATGTTGGTACCTTGTGTATACTCTAATCAGCGTGAAAACTGTCAATGCGCGATCCAGGTTTAGTATTTTTAGTCAAAAGTTCTCAAAGTTCTCGCTAGATGTCGACACGTCAATATTTAATTAAGATCGTATTTTAGTTACCGTGTCATTTGTGTAGGCTTTTTTAATAGGGTTCTTGATTGATTTCCAGGTAAGCCTTGGTTGGGCCGGTGATCAGCCCTGGATAAACGTGACGAAAACTTACGCAATCTGCCTCATCATCTGTGGCCTGTCCGTGGCCGCTTATCCCGTCTTCATCACCAACTACTGGGCTCTTACAGTAGTGTCTGCTATCTTTGGCTTATCATTTGCCAGTTCGTATTCCTATACGCCAGCAATTCTGATGGATCTGATGCCGATGGACCATTTTACTGTGGCGTATGGTTTAATTTTGCTTAGCCAGGGCATTGGACATTTGGTTGGACCACCTATTGGAGGTAAGGGTTTTTGAATGAATACGTAACTTTTAGTAGACTTCAAGAAAAGAAGTACGTTCTGAGTTTGATTGTGTTTATAAAAGCGAATTGTTTTTTTTTAAACTACAATTCATCATTATAAAGGCACATTAAAACCGATAATATTTTTTTTATTAAAAGTTTATGTTAATTATTACAAAATATTTGAGTGGTTGGTTAGTTAATGATCCTGTCTACTAAACTGGTGATCGTGATTTCGATACCCACCCAGGATCACACATACATTACATGAACAGCCTTTAATAGCTGCTGGACATAGGCCTCTCCTTAGAAAGGAGGTTTTGGCCTGCTAATATAAAATAAAAATAAAAATGGGATCAATAATTGTAAAATGTTTTCATTCTCAATCATGCTCATCATTGATAAGCATCTGGGTCTAAGTGTGATGTATCAATACTTATGGATAATACATTGCGTAACATACACACAAACATCACCATGTACAAGCACATAACTCATATACGAAAACACACACATACTTTTATACAAACACCCATACTAACACATACTCACCTATACACATACCCACTCAATAGCAATTGGTCCACTTATGTGATATCATTTACGAGTATTTACGCATACACGACTGAAAACTGCCACCCAAAATACAAGCCTCCGCTTAGTTTGGGAGACAGTATCAGCACCTAAACTACAATACATTTAATTGTGTCAAATTATAAGTGTGAACCCTTGTGAACTATATAATTTTTATGACAATAAAGATTATTATTGGAACGAAGGTCCTTATCGCGCGTTGTGAAAGGGGGCTAGACGGAAAAAAATCTCACGAAAAGTTGTAACGACACTTTTTATTTTGAATTGTCACTTGTCAATCATTCAGCGCCATCTATCGAATAGATAGGAAATCATTACTTTTCATCTCAGTAAAATTAAAATTTATGTTCTTAGGTTGAGCAAAAAATATTGTATTCGACATCATTTCTCAAGGAGATTTTACCAATGTATAAATTGTTTTAATTAGAAACCAACTGAAAAATATGTAGGTAATAGCCTCTTTCATAGATGGCGTTGTAATTAAAATCGTGTCGAATCAGTTTTACTCGATCGTCACAACTTCGTTCCTATCGGGTGTCCCACGACACCACACGGCTTTTTTTATTATTATTACATTTGTCTAATGTCTAATGGTTTTTTAAATTTCTGGTTAAACAGACTACCTAATTTAGGATCAGACGTCCGCGTGCAAGATGTGTCAAGGTAGTAAAAAAAGGGCCTATTTACACTTAAATATCTGTGATTCCAGGAATGCTATACGACCTGACAAAGTCATGGGACCTGACATTCTACATGGGTGGTGCGTGGGTAATCGTGTCAGGACTTTGTGTGGCGGTGATCGCATACACTAAAGACGTTCGAATGTGTGGAACAGCACCTCTACTGAAGGACGCGGAGGAAGCGAAAAAGGAAAACGAAGTCGACGTGTAAAAGTGTGACTTATTTATAAGTAATAAAGAATATTTTTGAATGAGAGTGAAGAGTTTTTATTGGAAATAGAACATGGTTTGGTACTGGTACGGTCGGACCAGGGGCCTCTTGTAACCCCCACTCACTCGCTGAGAAGCAACTAAAGAAATGCTTAACACTGGTTTTCTGTAAGGCCGTCGTCATCACTCCGGTCGAGCATGGCCTTTGTATGGCCTTCAAGCAACCTACAACTGTTGATAAATTTGTGTAAAAAGGGATACATAATTTTTTTCCACGTGTTAGTATATTTGTGGCTATACTATACTCACATTTACATACTTACATAAAATAATATAAGTTATACAATTCAAGTTCAATGAAAAAAGAAATAAATTGGAAACAAACGAAATAAAACAATACATTAAATCGCCATTACTTTCAATGAAATGAAAATGTAGGAGTGAGCAGCATCAATCCCAACAAAATTGTCATTTAAAAAATCCTTTTAAAATAAGTTGAACCGGCTTCAAACAATACTGACAAAGAGCACTAAAAATTAAAAAATAATTACAAATATTATAACACGTATTCATCAACATCAACAGCCTTTACAGTCAACTGCTGGACATAGGCCTTTCTTAGAAAGAAGGTATTGGCCTACTATACCACGCTGGCCAGACGGGTTGGTATAGAGTTTGTTTCAAGTCTTCCTTTTCTTGTCAGTGCTGTCGTTCTGCATAGTTTGCTCCTTTATTCGGCTCTGATGACAACTACGGGATGGATAGGGGTACTGACACTCCATATTCTTAATTGACACAACACGGATGATAAATATAAATAATTCTAGAATAAATATAGCTAGACATCGAAGTACAAACATATTATTCTCATAAATTTATATTCCCCTATCTGTTCTTCTGGTGTAATATCAAGGTAGCCACTCTATAATCGTAAAATTTAAATTATCTTCCCAACAAGGCCCATTGTTCTGTAATAACAATGAGATTCAACAGTCATATCTTATGGACATATTATTTCATGTACTATCGGTATGTGAGTTGGATTGTTTCTTATATCGGGTGTTTTAATATACAGAACACTTATATATATATCGTTGAAATGACGGACCTCTGGTATGCATGTACAAAATTATAATTATTCAATCCAATATTCCATAAAAACCAACCAAAAAATATGCAATGTTCATCATAAGTAAGTGACTGCTGCCGCCCAAGGATACCTGCAACTCAGGAGTAACAGGCAACAGTATGCGCTGCCGTCCAGGATGAGGGGGAGGTTGAGTTTGAGGTCCGGTAACCTTAAAACCTAAATCAATCCGTGTGGTGACTGATTAAGAATACGGAATGTCACCACCCCTATGCTTCCCGTGGGTGTCGTAAGAGCCGACTAAGGGAACAAACTGCACAGTACAACAGCACTGCAAGAAGAAGGAACACTTGAAACAAACCCTATACCAACCTGTCTGGCCAGCGTGGTATAGTAGGCCAAAACCTCCTTTCTAAGGAGAGGCCTATGTCCAGTTGTGGGCTATAATAGGCTGTTGATGATGATGATTAACCTAAATCATTCTGTGGAAGCAACGAAAGAAGTTTAACTACTGCTTGATTTCTGTGAGGCCTGCCCATTTGCGCCGAAGTGTGACTCTACCGGTTTGAATAACATCGACATAAAAAATTTAATGCGGCTGTGCTCCTCTAGTTGTTGAGTTTTCATTTGAGGGAAAAGGGTAAAAATAAAACAAATAATTATTGAAAATTTACAGTAACAACTTTATTGTGAAGGTTACAACAATTTGTAGAGGTCAGTTTTGTCAACAACAACAGTGCTTTGGTCTCGGCCAAGTCAGTAATTCAGTTATTGCGAGAATTTACCAATATATACCATGCACGGAGAATTTATAAAATGGACTGACTCCATTATAAAGTTTACATTTTATTGAAAAAATTGAATTTGATTGGTATGTTGGTCTAGTGCTTAATGACCCTGACTGCTAAGACGAAGATCGTGGTTTCGATTCTCATTCAGGACAAATAATTATGAGATCGCACGGTCATTTGTTCTGTGTCTGGGTGTTCTTTATGTCCGTTTAACGTATATATGTCGTGTGTCGCGGAGGACTTAGATCGTGGTTTCGATTCTCATTCAGGACAAATAATTATGAGATCGCACGGTCATTTGTTCTGTGTCTGGGTGTTCTTTATGTCCGTTTAACGTATATATGTCGTGTGTCGCGGAGGACTTTACAAACTAAAGATATATTCCTAGTGCGGGAGTTGTCTTTAAAAAAAAAGAGAGATAAACAATAACTATTCATGAAAGGATCGGCTCTTATGCAGTATAATCATAACTTTTAACTGTACCTGAGCCTGTGCTATGATAACCAGACTGCTGATAAACATACTTATATATTCTTCAATATATTAATTTTATAAATAATCATATCATACAAAGTGTTGTCCCATGGTGGGATCGGACCCACCATACTCAGCGCAGTAGAAAGCGGCGAGGTGACCGTTTAAACCACTACTGCAGGCAGATTGTAATTCATAACATGGAAAATAGCCGTACCATACAAAAAACCACATAATGAATCAACAGACGTATCTGTCTTTGTACTGTTTTGTAAAGGTCAATCAATATCGTTGGGTTTGAATTGTTACATTTCGTTTAATATTATAAGTTTGTAATCATCGAGACACGTGTCATGTTTATTTACAAAACGACATGTGTTTATTTGTTAATTTTTAGGGTTCCGTACCCAAAGGGTAAAACGGGACCCTATTACTAAGACTCCGGTGTCCGTTCGTCTGTCCGTCTGTCACCATGCTGTACCTCATGAACCATGATAGTTAGACAGTTAAAAATTTTACAGATGATGTATTTCTGTTGCCGCTATAACACACATCATCATCACATCAACAGCCTATACTAGTCCACTGCTGGACATAGGCCTCTCCTTAGAAAGGAGGTTTTGGCCTACTATACCACGCTGGCCAGACGGGTTGGTATAGCGTTTGTGTCAAGTTTTCCTTCTCTTTGCAGTGCTGTTGTCCTGCTTAGTTTGCTCCCTTAGTCGGCTCTTACGACACCCACGGGATGAATTGGGGTGGTGACAATTTGTATTCTTAATCCGTCACCACACGGACACCCGCTATAACAACAACTACTAAAAACAGAATAAAATTAATATTTAAGGAGGCTCCCATACAACAAACATGATTTTTGCTCGTTTTTGCTCGATATTGATAACGGCAATAGGTAGACGCTTGAAACATTCACAGAATATTTAGTTGGAAATTTACTTTAAAAATAAATTATTAAATTAAAATAAAACAGACATTTAACTCCCATACAACATTTTTATGCAGATTTTATAGAGAATGGCATGGAACCTTTCTTGCGGGAGTCCGTCTCGCACTTGGCCGGTTTTTTTTATACATTAATGTATTGAGTACAGGGATATAACGAGTATAGAAATGAACAAGGGTATTTTGTATTTCTTTGACACACTGCATTGTGCATTGGTTGCATTGGCACACCTACACAGCAATAAACGGCTTCATGGATTTTGGCTTTGGAGATGTCATAGAAATTATAATATTATTACGGTTTCTATGGGAGGTGTCGTTAGATTCGTCATAAGCTCTGAGCGATAAGGCCGCCATTTGTACCTGTCTAACCTAGCTTAAGTTAATCTTTATATATTTATAACTGGTGTACAATAAAGAGATTTATTATTATTATTATTATAATTGTTAGAGTTGACTCTGGATATACGAAAATTATCAAAACTGAAATCGCCGATTTGTTTTTTGTTTTTTTTTGTGCTTTTACTGAGACAAACAGTTCTCAAAGGAGGAAAGAATATCTTTTTCATGATATAGGGGGAACACGAACACACAGGATACGTAATGGATACTCGCCCTTGGACGTCTGCATGTGTATCACAAGTGCGTTTGCGCCTCTTGGCTAAAGAAATGCCTAACACTGGGTTTCCTTAGACCCACCACCACCTCTCTTCATCCCGTGGGTGTCGTAAGAGCCAACTAAGGGAGCAAAATACGCAGGATAAACAGCACTTAAGGTAAACTTAACATAAACCCTATATCAACCCGTCTGGCTAGTGTGGTTTCATCATCATCATCAACAGCCTTTACTAGTCCACTGCTGGACATAGGCCTCTCCTTAGAAAGGAGGTTTTGGCCTACTACACCATACTATGCAAAAAATGGACTATTAAAGGCTGTTGGTGTGATGTGACGAGGACGTAGTAGCATACCGATCGAGACGGCCCCTGTTTAAATTTTTTAGACCCGTACTGCACCCAGGACTATGAAGTAACAATTCTTACGATACCATATACATCTTACTCGTTCAGACAATACACTTTTGGGGATAGTCATGTAAAATATAGACGATGGTGACATGTGTTAAGTCATGGAATCTAATAACTAAAAAATCCATAAACAGGACTCACTAAACTGTACTGACTTGTCCAAGACCATTAGTAACACATCGAGACTACATTATAACAAAGACAAACATAAATACAGCGCCTTTCAGATGTATATCTGAACATATAATTACATTTACTACATTGACATTTAGTTAGTTTGAAGTCGTTCAATGATAAATTATATAATTAAATTTAACTTTTATTTTTAGTTATAATTTATTATACATTATATTATATATATAGTAATGGAAATCAATGCAATCAATAGCCATTATCATAGGCTTTTCCGCCTATAACCACGCGCAGTGTCTGTGCTGGCCAATTCTCGTACCTTTTTTTTGGTCTGTACGGAAATTCCCTCGGATACCACCCACCGGTGGTTGTGTAGGTAATATCGTAGTAAAGTATTAATTCACAGTCTGTCTCGCAGCTAGCAAGCTAGGAGAAATATAAACCAAAGAGCAAAAGATTTATATTTCGAAGTCTTAAACTTTGAGTGAAGCGAAATTCAAATTAATAGACGAATTAAATTTAAGAGCAATTT